TCTTTGTGTCCCTGGGACTTCATATGCTCCACAAACTTTCGAGGGGTCTTGAAATAACGGTTGCATATGGTGCAGAAGGGTCTCAGGGATTGTTTGGCGATCTGGGGAAAGGAAGGCAGGCTATGAGGTACATTGTAGCATTCCCCCCCAGATACAAGCTACCTATAGTGGCCCAATGAGACCTCACCTGTCAAACCTGCGGGCCCAGCTCAGCTCCGCCCCCGCAACGGGACATACAAAATCACTTTTCTTCAGTATGTGGGATGGTAGGCGGCAACACAGGATAGGAGGGATGATAGCCACTAAAGACATCCCAGTAGGCTAGTGGCTGAATAGCAGGGTGAGCTAGTACCTACACTCAACAGATGGGCAAAGTAAAGCCCAAAGAGGAACATGACTGACTCACCAGAAGCCGAATGAATGACAGTCACATGGAGACAAAGAGACTTTACCTCGCACTCCCACCCTGGACCACCTCCCCCATCTGGCTTGGCTGTGGCACTCATGGGTGCCTTTTCAGCATGTGAGTGGCTCTCGCACCTTGTGTTCCTGTGTCCTGCGGTGCTGGATCAGGTCTCCCATGTAGTACACCTGGCAGGTGTTGCACCAGCGTTTTGGAGGAGGCTCTCTGAATGATGACAATAAAAACAAGCAGGGCATGATGCTATACTCTCCTAGAGTGCCCCCGAGATGTAATGCAGTTTGGAAGCGAGGGTATGGGCCAGCCTACGGTGCCTTCTTGAGGGGCCAGGCTTCTAGTCACAGCATCAAAAAGATGAAGGAAAGAACAGCGATTCCTGACTCCTCTGAATGAGAGCTAACAGACATGTGCTCTCTGTCCAACAGGCAAAAAGCTGAGCAACTGTGAGTCTCTGCTGTCTCCTCATCCTCAGTGGAACCCCCCAACCATTGACTCAGACACTGTCCAGCCTGAGAAAGGCTTTCATTTGTCTTCAACAGCGTTTACTGTAATTCTAAGTAAGTCAACTCTGAGATCTCACTACGCAGCTGGCTTTAAACTCTTGATCTTAGCTGGCCATGGTGGCTCACACCTTTAATCCCAGCACTTGGGAGGCAGAGGCAGGCGGATCTCTGTGAGTTCCAGGAGAGCCTGGTCTACACAGAGAAACCTTGTCTTGAAAAACCACCACCAACAATAAAAACCTCTTGATCCTACTGCCTCAGCCTCCCAAGTGCTGGGATCACAGGTGCGGGTCACCACAGCTGGCTTTGTTGTTGACACTCCTAAGTTAGCCAGGTTCCTGGATTCTCCTGAAAAGCTGGGCACTCTGGCAACCACAGAGGCAGCCGTCCCAGGAGATACAGCCCTTATCTTCCAGGTCCCAAGTCTATATGGTTCACTTTCTCCAACAACATTTCCCAGCCCTGCAGGCTTGTGACACCCCACTGGGGCCAGGCAGCTCCTATAGCTTCCCACCCAGCCTTGTCACTCCAAGTGCTAGTTCCAGACTCCAGGGTGGACATTTCAGACCAACCACATCCCCTGTGACAACGGAAGGAAAATGGAAGGAGCATTCAAGATTCAAGGTCTAACCCCAGGGCACAAGATGACCTGATCCTTGCCATTGTGATTCTGTGGTTGGGGCCAGCACACAGACCAAAGGAGCAGGGCTCTGTGCCATAACCCCCCTGACCACAGGGGGGTCACACTAGTCTTACCTGGAAGGACCCTTGGGATGCTGTCACTACACCCCTAATCAGGCCGCTTTATGGATAGGGGAAACTGGGGCCCAAGCTTACAGAATCAATGGCATGCAGAGCAATGCTTAATCCCTGGGCAGACCTCAAAGACAGTATACTAAGGGCCTGGCCTGTGAGGCTTCCTGCCCTACAACATGAGCCTCTGCCAGCCTCTCCTTACTCTGTCTCTCTCTCCAGGATGTCTCGAGGCATGGGCAGCAGGGACAGCAGGCAGGTCTGGCTCGAGTGCTGCATTTCCCCAAGCCGCTGTTGGTGCTGAGCGTCTGACATGTGGTCCTGAAACTCCTGCAGCATGAAGGAACCAGAGGTGGCCATGAGCCACAGCCATAGGGAGGACAACTCCAAGCATCACAGCTGCCCTGCATCTCTGATCCTCCTGACTGTTTCTCCCGAAGGTCCTGCCAGCATGTGCCACCATAACAGGCTTTGTTTTACAAAGCTCAGTGTGGGCCATGGCAGGGATGGGAATACACATCCATTTCCAGGAGTGCTTCAATAATAAGAGACATGGCTCTAAATGGTCATGCTCAGATAAGGACCACTGTCACAAGTAACAATGGCTATTGGAAATAAGTAAAAGCATTAAAAAAAAACTGGGGGGTGGGGTGGGGTGGAGAAATGGCTCAGAGGTGAAGAGTACTGGCTGCTCTTCCTGAGGACCTGGGTTTGGTCCCCAGAAACCACATGGTAGTTCACAACCATGTGTAACTCAAGTTGCAGGGGATCCGATGTCCTCTTCTGAGGGCACTGGACTCATGTGATGCAGAGATTGACATATGGGCACAATACTCATACACATAAATAAAAATAAACATTAAAAAGTTTTGTTTTGTTAATTTAAAGATAGATATTGAGTTCTAGCTATATTGCCCAGGTCGAGCATGTGCTTACATGTCCCATTTCAACCTCCCAGGCAGGTAGGAGCAGCTGCAGGGAGCCCTGACAGTCCCAGCCAACACTACTATTCATTTATTTCTTTTTCTCCTCACATGTTAAGCAAGGCAGAACTATATCCTAATTATACTTTATTTTTTTTATTTTGAGACAGGCTCTCTTGCCAAGTTGACCAAGTTGCCCTTAAACTCATGATCTTCCTGTATAGTAAGAAATTACCAATACGGAGTCAGGTAGAAATATAAGGGTATTTAATAGGGAAAAGCCTTACTTACAGAGCGAACCAGCCAGCCGGTGGTAGTCTGTACAGCAAGAAGCAAAGAGAGAAACCGAAACCGAAAACGCAGTCCCCCTACTCACTCTGACCACGCCCTCACAAGCCCTCAGGTACTCTTGTAGCCAGCCCCTAAGAAGGCGTGGCTACAGCTTCTCCTACATTCCTGCCTCAGCTTCCCAAGTGACTAGAATCAGCCCAGCTAAGACTATTGTTTTTAATGATGCACTTGCTTGGGCCAGACCTGGGCCCAGAGCTTCAATGTCAAGTGCTGAGCCCTAAGACGCAGTGAGGTAAGTTCTTGGCTATATGCACTGAACACAAGAGGGAAGGACACAAGAGTTGAATTTACTTCTGGAGACCTCGATGGTCAGTCAGATTTGAACCAAGTTTTCCTTGGCCCTAAAAACCTGCTCTGTCAGCTGATTAGGAAATATGTCTAAACAGATGGACAGTCACTGGGAAGTGTAGAGAAGGCAAGCCCGCCCCTGCTCCCCAGCCCTGAGTACCTGCTGGCTGCTGCAGCCGGCCTTGCAGATGTAGCAGAACAACTGAAGGGTCTGCTTGGAGTGTGTGCTGGCGAGGGCAGCGGCAGCAGAGGTGGAGTCCCCAGGGCGAGGACCAGACGTGAGGGGTGTGGTGTTGAAAGCCCGGCTGTCGCTGCTCTGCAGGATGGTGACCTTCAGGGAGCCCCCGGCCCCCCATGTCTACAGTAGATTCAGAGGCAAGAGTCTACCATCTGGGTGTCGATGGTGTGCTAGCCCTGACAAGAAACTGACTGCCCAAACCACACAGAAACTACGGTAGCCAGGATTTGAACCTAGATGGAATGTGTGCACGCCCGTGTGAAAGTGAGCATACGAGCCTGTGTGTGTGTGTGTGTGTGTGTGTGTGTGTGTGTGTGTGTGCGTGCACGTGCACGCTTGTGCATGCGAGTCAGTGCCTGTCACTGTGTAAACCAAGCTGGCCTGAAACTCCCACAGATCATCCTGCCTCTGCCTCCGCCTCCCAAGGGCTGGTTTTAGATGTGCACCACCACTCCTAACCCAGCTCTGCCTAATTCTAAAGTCCACTCCATGCCACCCCTCACATAATGGATGTGAAACTGAGACCCAAGGAAGAAAAGAGACTGGCTGAAAGTTTAGTTATAAGGTAGAGTTGGGACCTGAGGTCCACAACGAGGCTTTTGCTAAGATACTCTTTGCACTAAAATGACATCACCACATTTGGGATTGGGAGCTCTAGCGTGGAGTGGCCAGACCAGAAAAGATTCTTATCACCAAAAGCACATCCAGATCTTAAGAAAAAAGGACACAAGAGCAGAGGAACTACTATGTGGCTCATCCATGCAGCCAGGCACAAGGCTGCTGTCCTCCTCACAAAGGGGACACAGGAATCCTTAGGCCACCACCACGTGCAGGCTTCTACGTACCCCAAGCATCTCTCTTGCTCTCTTTTCACACTCTCCCACGTCCAGGCCATCAGTGGATGCCTCCTGGCTCTTGTCTTCATTGCTTTGGGCACCTGCTGGCTCTGGCAAGACCTCCTCTGGTTCTGAAACAAGAGACGTGTTCCTTTCCCAGAGTGTGTCTACAAATTGGGGTCCAAGATCTAGATCTATGAGAGCTGGCTTCTCTATCCACAGCTATGACCCCGAAGTCCAAGATGGATGGTCCCAGATCTGAACTCTGGGCCCAACCCTGTCCCCAGTCAAGGCCAGACAGTGCCAGGTGGAGAAAGAAGGGTTGGGCAGGGCTGGATCTGGCCAGGAGCCCACACACTCACTCACCTCCCCCAGCTTCTGCAGCACCAGGTGACGGTTGCGGTTCTGTGGCACAGGCCAGAACTGACGCTTGCTCTGGTGGGGGAGCTGACCCCTGTGGCCAGGTCTGAGGCTGGTCCTGGGTCTTCTCTGATGTCTGTTCCTGCATCTGTCCTGAAGGCTGCTCCTGTGGCTGTGCTTGGGCGGGTACCTGTGGCTGTGTCTGTGGTTGGGCCTGCTTCTGCGGCTGTGGATGCACCTGTGGCTGTACCTGACTCTGCTGTGATGCTAAGTGCTCTGGAGAGGTCTGTGTCTGTGCCTGCTTCTGCAGCCTTGGCTGCACCTGGGCCTGGATCTGCAGAACTTGTGGCTGGAACTGTGATAGGACTTGGGCTTCTGGTGGCTCAGGCAGCTGATCTGGGGTCTGTGTTTGCTTTGGTGCTGTCATCTGGATCTGGGGCTGGACTTTTGCTTGTGGCTGCCCTGTAGGCCCTTTCTCTGTGGACTCCTCTGAGCTAGGAAAGATCCAAAGATAATGAAAACAACAGGCATGGTGGTGGTGGTTCACGCTTTTGATCCTAGCCCTAGGGAGGCAGAGACAGAGGGGATTTCTTAAGAATTGGAGGGCAACCTAGTCTACATAGGGAGTTCTGGGTCAGCTAAGGCTGTCTCAAAAAAATAAACAGGCAAATCAAAAAAGATCAAAGCTGCATCTTTCAAGAGCTCTATGACCCCAGTTCCTAACCCCAGCTCTACTTACAATGGGGGATCAGGGACGTTTGAAAGCTATCCAGGCCTCTTTCACCTAAATAAACTCAGAGGCATTGACTTTCCACCTTGTAACATGTTTTGAATTAACTCTATAAACCAGGTCACCCATGGACTCTACAAAGCCCTGTTCCCTCGTAGCTGCCGACCCTGGTCTCTCTCTCTCTCTCTGTCTCTCTCTGTCTCTCTCTGTCTTTCTCTGTCTCTCTCTCTCTCTCTCTCACACACACACACACACACACACACACACACCCAAAGTGAGAGGCCAAGGCCTAACTTTACAGGAGTAAGCTCCAGGCCTGAGCCCCAGTATGTGGCCAGTATCACTCACCTTTTTGACCTCTTGGCTGGTGGTTCCGACGCCTCAAAGGTCTCAGGCTCAGGCACTGGGGTCTCATTCGCCATGCCATTTGGGCAGACTAGCAAATCTTGGTCTGCAGTAGAGACAAGTGAGGGAACCAAGTTCCAGGAGACGGCCAGCCCTGGCTCACCTGCCACCAAGACCTCCCCTGTCCCAGTGTCCCTTTTGCAGGACAGCAGCATCCGTCTCTCACCTTCAGGTGTGTCCATCTGGAGCTCCTGTGCTTCTTCAGACCCCTCTGTGGGGTCCTCCCTGTCTCCCAGAGGAACTGTCTGGGAAGAAGAGTCCTGCTTCTTTTTAGAATTTTGTAACCTCTACCTCACTTGCAAACACCCTCCTGCTCAAGGAGCTGAAGAACAGATGACCCGAAACACCTCAAGAGTCATTGTCTGAGGTGCCCATCTAGCTGCCTGACTGCCATATGAATCTGGGCTGTGACACACAAAATCTCTTGGATCCACTGGTCATCTAGACTTCCCACTCCCTGTTCCCTAAGGAGCCAGAGCAAGCCTTTGGCCTAAACCCTTCCAGGGCCTCATAGCCTTGGGATTCCCCTAATCCCAAACCTGGAACTGTCCACCCCTGCCCACTTTCATACCCTGGATCTCTGTCTCTCTTTTCCCCTTCTAGACGCCCCCACCAGCCTTCCTCCTACACAAAGCCCATCTCCCTGCATCCTCTCTGGCCAAGCCCCCAGCCTTCAAATGGAGCCTGAGAGTTTCTTGCAGGAAGCTCCAAAATACAGGTTAGGTCCAGACCCTTTTAATGGAGTTTCCCAGTTTTTTGTTATTGTTGTTTATTGAGACAGGGTCTCACTTATTCCCTAATTAATTGCTTTTGTGTAGCTGCATTAGTATCTCTTCAACCTACACCCAAGACCCACAGATAAGACAGAACCCCTAGGTGCCACTCATAGCCTCCCTCCCTCCTGCTGAGGCCTCTGGTGAAAACATATACCTACCCACATAGAAACTTGCCAGCTATTGCCCAGGAAGCCTGGAATCTGTGCCCACCTCAACTGCCCAGTCTGTCAGTTGTAGTTTTCCTATATGTAAAACAGTAGCACAGGTATGCCAAGACCCTGGTGTGCCTGCCAGGCCTAACCCCAAGGTAGAGGCTGAGCCCTTCTCCGGAGGGAAATACCTTCCTACAGATGTGGAACGACCAAAGCAATTAAGTAAGGAGTGTTGTTCGTGCCCTAAGAACACACCTGGGAGTGGACCTTGTGCCAAGAGCTGCAAGGACATGTAGGGAAAGAGCAGTATGCATGCATACTGGCGCTCCTACATGTGTGCAAGCAAAAGTATGTCCATGTTTTCCTCTGTAAATCTCAGAGTCTTCTGAACCACTGGACCCATTGCACCCACCAGGCAGCTGCTGGCCCCTTTAGATGCAGCTGTGTGAATACCATGCCCTCCAGGGACCCTACTTTTATTCTATGTATGAGGATTACACAATTTTGAAACTTTTAGACAGTGATACAATTCTTCTTTATTTTTTGCAGAATCCAGAGCCTCTTAACACCCCAAGCCTGTGTGTTACCATTGAGCCACACCCTCACACCTTAAAAGTAACATTCAGAGCTTCCTGTGCCAGGTTCAGGTAAACACTTGAAACTCGGAGTTTTAATTAAGGTGGGAAGCTTAATGACACAACAGATATTGAATATTTAGTGGGTTTTGTGGGGTTTTTGTTTGTTTGTTTGTTTGTTTAAGAACAAAAAGGGACATGGTGAAATATACTGGCAGTTTTAGGAACTTGGGAGGCTGAGGCAAAAGGATCGCTTAAGCCAAGACATCTGAGATCGGGTGGGAAGCATAGGGTGCATAGAGGTATTTAAAGTTTGGAAGGTAAGATCTGGTCTCTTAAAGAACAAACAAACAATCATCAAGAGACCTTACTTATTTATTTTTGGGTTTTTTTGAGACCAGGTTTCTCTGTGTATCCATGGCTGTCCTGCAGCTCAATCTGTAGACCAGGCTGGCCTTGAACTCACAGAGATCCGCCTGCCTCTTTCTCCTGAGTGGTGGGATTAAAGGTGAGTACCACCACCACTCAGCTCATTTATTTATTTACTTTCAATACAGGTCAAACTGGTAACTTTTTAAAATACTAGATTAATTAAAATGTTAGTAAATTTTTTCTTTATTTTACTCATTTTTGTTTGCCTGTTCTGGACAGCTGGCCTAGAACTCACAATGTAGCTAGAGATGATTTCTGAACCTTCTACACATCTCCAGAGTGCAGGGATTTTTTAGATGTACATTACTACCCCTGGCAGTAAAATTAACTTTATCTGTTCCTTTAACTTCTTTTTAAATTTTAAGGTCTGTCTACATAGCTCAGGATGGTCTGGAATGCCCAGCAATCTTCCACCTCCAACCTCTCAATGTTGGGGTATGGATGTCATCTTTTTAATGTGGTTATCAAAATTTTAACTCATATCCATGATTCATATTTTATTTCTACTAGCCATTGCTGATGTAAAGAGAAATAGCAATAAGGAGCAGTGAGATGTCTCAGCAGGTAAAGGCGTTTGACATCAAAATTAATAACCTGAGTTCTGTCTGTAGGACCATATGCTGGAAGGAGAAAACAGACCCACACAAGTTGTCCTTTGACCTCCACATGCCCACCTAGGCAGATGTAAAAATAAATAATAATGAAGAAGTAATAAAGAAGTTGCTTAGCCAGGCAGTGGTGGCGCACACCTTTAATCCCAGCCCTTGGGAGGCAGAAGCAAGCAGATCTCTGGGTTTGAGGCTAGCCTAGTCTATAGAGCTAGTTCCAGGACAGACAAGGCTACACAAAGAAACCTTCTCTTGAAAAAACAAAACAAAACAAAACAAAAAACCCAAAAAATTGTTTAAGAGAGAAACAGTACATAAATAATAACAAAGTGGTATTTGGGTATGGCTAAAGTCCCATCAAGGGCACAGAGGCATTTGAAGTTTGGGAGATGCTAGATACCTCCACCTTAATTTTACAGACAAGGACACTGAGGCACAAAACAGAGGGAGCATGACCTGCCCAAAGGCCAGGTGAGCCCAGGCACATAGAGCCAGGGTGACACTGAGGTACTTCTTCACTAACTCCTACCCCTGCTGCTCCACCCAAAGCACTACTCACCTTGAGATTGGGGGTGGTGGAAGTGGGGGTTCTTGCCTGTTTCTGGGAGTTCCTCCCTGAGTGGCTGAGCTGAGAAGGGTTCATTGGGACCCCAACAGGAGGAGGGCCCAGCAGGGACTGGCGGGTGGCCTGGGGAAAGAACTGTTGTAGATTTGGAGTGACCATCTGGGTGGGTGTAAGGCTGGGCGCTGCTAGACTTGGGGCTGCCATGTTGTAAGCACGGAGGTTGCCTGTGGGGAAGAAAAGGTGAGAAGAGAGGTCACACCATGGTCCCTCAAAGCATCATGGGAATATTAGAGATAATTTCCAAGCAGAGGGAAGGTAAAGCCAAGTTGGGGCCTGCTGTGGGCACTAGAGAGAAAGGACTCTAGAGAGAAAGGACTCAGGGGCATGAGGGGGTTCTGTTCCAGCTGTGTGTGTGTGAACTGCCCCAACTTGCCCTCAAACATACTGTAAGGCCCTTCAAGGGACCCAGCATAGGACCATAGGACAACCAGCAAGCTGTTGTTCAGTACTTTGTCCCCGATAAGCTTCTCTTTATCAATGAGAGGGAAGCCCCGTGTGAGACTCTCCTGTCACTGCATCAGCCCTCTAGCCTGCCAAGTACCAGGGCAGATGTGGCTGTTTATACAGATGACAAAACACAGACACAAAGCAGAGCAGTAGCTTGCCCAGGATTTCTGAGGGATACCCGCTAGCTCTGTCACCCCTCCTAACCATACCCTCCACATCCAAGACCAGGCTTTCCCTCTCCTGAAGACACTTCACCCTCCCCAGGATCTTTCTAGAGCTAACTGACTTCATCCCCTGTCCAAAATTTCCTACAGTTCCCCATTCAGTAAGGAAGCCAGTTCCTTCTAGAGCAAGGTCTGGCCCCGCCACCTCCTTATATGCCTCACATTGAGCTCTAGGGACATGTCCTTGTGCAGTCCTTCGATCTCCCTGCCTCTGGGCCTTTGTACATACTGCCCCCTCTGTGGAAGCTGTTGTACTCCACCAGTTCCCAGAAAACTTCAGACCTCCCTTTAAGTCTTTCCTATTTCCACTTCAGGAGGCCTTCGGTGATATCTGTGTCCATAGAGACCTCTATCCTAGGACCAGCCATCTTATTTCCTGCTACATCCCCTCCGTCTCAGCTCCTTTTATCCAGGGAAGGCCCTGAGCGTAGCTGGCATCCATGCTGAGATTCAGGGGCAATGCAGGGCAACACAGGCTTAAAGGCACAGGTCAGTTGTGCTGAGAGCTGAGATCAAGCCCAGACTACAGCACTAGCTCTGGGACCTTGAGTAGACTGGTTTCCCAGGACTCAAAGTTATGAACTAGTGCATCTGATAGACAGGTACAACAAAGACATATACAGGGTTGCAGAGAGCCACCCAGCTCCCATAAACAACAAGATGAAAGACAGAGTGCTCTCAAACAGAAATGGACAAAGGACATGGACAGGTCACAAAATGAAAAGCAAATGTTTAATAGATAAGTGTAAAAATATTTTAGCTGCACTAGCATGTGGAAATGTGAATTAAGACATTCAAGACACAGCTTTAGCCTTTGCAAACCAACTCAGTAAATTACATGTTCAGATACATTTATATAGGAATATATAAAAAAGCACAGAATACCCAATGCTGCCGTGGGCATGGTGAGGCCGGCACTGTCATACGTGGCTGGTGGCACTGCAAACTGGTCCAGTCCTTAGGAAAGTAATTTGGCAATACTTATCAAAAGCCATCAAACATCCATCCCCCAACTCAGTTATTCTATGTTGGGAATCTAATATGAGAAAACAGTCCCAAATGTCATGTTCCTCCCAATGGTATTCAGGATAGGAAAGAGAAAAAGAGGAAGGAGGGGAAAGGACATATAATTGAGGTTTCCATAAGGGCATATCTCTCTAGTGAAAAATTAAAACTATCATAAATATCCTGATTGAACCAGAATACTGGCTGGGTGTGGCAGCTCACACTTATAATCTGAGCCCTTGCAGGACAAGGTAGGAAGACTACTGTGAGTTCAAGACCACCCTGACTACCACACTAAGTTCCAGGATAGCCTGGGCTACAGAGTGAGATCTTGTCTCAAAGCAAGGCCAAATAGAGCAGCATATACTTTTAATCCCAGAAGTAGCACAGCAGTGGCAGGTGGATCTCTGTAAATTTGAGGCCAGCCTGGTCTACAGAGTGAGTTCGAGGCCATCCAGGGTTACAGAGTAAGACCCTGTCTCACACAAACAAACCAAAAAAATTCTAGCACTGCAAAATAAAAATTAAATAAAACATGACTTAGACCCTCTCTTGTATTAATCATAGTAATCACATCCAACTTCCCAAGCTCCTTCCTAGAGAAAAAAAAAAAAAAAAAAAAAAAAAAAACCAAAAAACTAAAAGTATACCAAAATACTGGTTGGTGACTCTCCCAGAAATGAGTGAACGTTTTCCTACCACTGGGTTTTTTTGTTTGTTTTCAATGACTATTTCAGTATTTATTTTAAATTTTAATTCATGTGTATGTGTGTGTGTAGGTCATATATAGGAGGATGGCCTCCGGGGCCAGATAAGTGACAGATCCCCTGGAGCTGGAGTTATAGGCATTGTGAGTTGCCTTGTGTGAGTACTGCACCCTAACTTGGGTCCTCTGGAAGAACAGCAAGAACTCCCAACCACTGAGCTATCTTTCCATCCCCTTTGGGTTTTTTTTGTTGTTGTTGCTGTTGTTTTCCTATTTTAACACATTATTTCCACTATGACAAGCATGACTTTTAAAATGGAAAAAGAAAAGGTGGCATATATATGCATACATGGTGACCCACTATGGGATTTTTCTCTCTCCAATTATCCAAGCATCATCTGAAAGTCAGCTTGGAGGGCTGTCCTGGTAGGGCTGTCAAGTGAGGGCCATCTAACTAGCTTCTACCTGTGCTGTACGACAGGCACAGGATCCCTCTTCCGGGCCTCAGGTTGCCATTGTTTTCATTTGTAGAGGGGGGTTATGGGTGTACTTCCCCTTAGGGTTATCAGTGGTCAGGAAGGACTTTGAAGAAGGGCTGAGATTCCTCCTGACACAGGGAAACTGAGGCAAGGGCATAGGCTTCACACTGGAAGCCAAAGACAGGGATTCATGGAGGCCCAGGCTCAGGTCTGGCAGGATGCCGAGTGACGAGTGACTCGGGACAAATACCATGTGATCTTCATGACAGTGGCCTATGCTGAGCACAGCCAGAAAAGCCAGTGCTGTAGCTTGGTAACTGTTCTCAGCAGAGTAGCTTGTGAACTTTCAACTCATAGAGCCCTGGTGGCCCATCCATATGAATGCTCTCAGAGTCTGTGTGTGAGTGGGGAAGTTTGAGTGGGACGTGGAGCAAACTGCAGACTGCTGGGAATTGCCATACCTTGCAACTGCTGCAGTAGCAAAGCTCTTTGCAGCATGGAGCCATTGAGCAGAGAGGCCGTATGGGCGGCCTGGAGATTCAGAAGCGGTTGCGGGGATGACTGCTGGGGGAGGCCCCTGTGTGATGGGAGCAGGGGGATCAGACGGTTGTTGGGAAAGCCATCCACTTGGAGACCCCTCACCTCCATTCTCTCCCTCTCTATGGCAGGTGAAGGATCCCCTGGAAGATGGGAACTGATGGCATTTAATAGTCAAACAAGGATGCCCCTGGGAGAGAAAACAGCTACTGGGAGCTGGTCTGTAAAACACAGGTCAGAGTGTCAGACTTTAGCCTCCATTCTCCTAAGTGGGAAACTCACCGGCTGACAGGCATGGGCAAGGGGGCCTGTGGTGGGGACTGCTGCAGCAGCTGTTGGAGCTGCAGTAATTGCTGCTGTTGCTGCAACTGCTGCTGCTGGAGCTGCTGCTGCTGCAGCTGCTGCAACTGTTGCTGCTGGAGTTGCTGGTTGAACATGGTAGCTGAGGGAAGGAAGGTAAGGTCAGGTCACCACTCTGGGTCAGTACAGCTCCCTGGGACACCCCTCCCAAAGCACCCACTCTAGCCCACAGATGCATACTGTAGGCTAGACTGCTCGGCTACACTCCCTGCCAAGAGCATGCCACTTTTGTACCGGGGTGCTTCCAGCTCTGGTCAGCTGCCAAGAACAGAATACACACAAGTGCTCTTGCTTTTAGACCTCTATCTTCACTCCCATCTCTTCAACTCTGGTGGTTCTCCCTTTCCAACCCCCTACACCCCCCACTCCCGC